AGTATTGCTTCCCATTCTTAATTATTTGCAATTTATCTTTTTCTTTTGTTAATTTTGGGAAAAGGAGTTCGCGTCGGTGCATATTTTTAACTTACTGCTGGTTTTGTGGTGGTTCATGCGGTGGAATCAAGCTGGGTATGTCTTAGATGTAGTTCTGGCTGTGAACATCGGTCCTGTACTCATAGTGGATTTGGAGCTTTAGCTTAGGACTTGAATAAAACAACAACAACACACACATACAAACAATTTTTTGAAATTCGAATTTTCGAATATTCCCCTTCTCCCCCTCACCTCCCTCTCGCGCTCGTCGCATCCCTTCAATAAATTGTAATCGAGTCACTGGCATTTTCGTCATGCCACCTGTTCGAAAAAAGCTCCCCAACTCAATGTTGGACAACGCGAGAGTCCGCCCGAGGGCTCCTGCAAAAACACCTGGCCTCGCGCAAAAATTATCAAGCCTATTTGCGAGTGAGGCCTTTATCCCTAGGAAGTCTCCAAACCTTCCCGATCAAGAGATGACTGATTCTGACCCGATCAGAACAGAAATAAATGGTCAACAGACCACGAAACCCGCCGAGCTGGCCCCCGAGGCAAGCAGTTCCAGGAAAGGAAAGGAGGTCGTCAGAGAAAAGACGACCGAACGTGCAGAATTGCCTGCCGGAAAAAATGCTGTGCCAGCCTCAAAAGGCGCAGCTTCGACACCAGCACCGGAATATCCACCGGAGCTGCAATCAGTGATGGAGGCCGAGAAGCGTCGCACGATGCAAATCAAGGCCCGTTTATCAATCTGTTCCACTGCAATAAGTAGTGTTGAAGCAGCACTTTCGCCTCTCTCGATTGGCGACGAAAAAGAGTTTGTAGACGGCATCAAAGTCTACCTTCGAGCGGCCATTGGCCAGTTCATACAATCAGGCCCAGGGAGCACTCTACCAGCTCTCCCTGCGCGCCCCAGCAACCCTCCTCCGCCGAGGGCTCATGAAATTAGGGTACCTAACCCTACGACAACCCAGGCTCCGGCCCAAAAGAAAACTTGGGCCACAGTAGCCCGTGCAGGTCTAGGCCGCAGCGCCGGGCCGTCGACTACAAAGACAGCACCGCCCGCCCCAAAAGCAAAAAGTGCCAATCCGAGGATAAAAGTCGACACGAGACTTTTTCTACGCCTCAAAGCTAACCACCCCCACCGACTCCTGTCACCAGCTGGCGTAAGATTAGCTGTGTCACAGGTGCTTGGTACCGCTGCCGACAACATCACGTTGGTTCAGCGGGTCAAAACAGGCTTTGCACTGACAGCAAAGAATGAACTCGCTCGGAAAGAGCTGCTAGATTCCTCCATGTCACGGAGCGAATCTGGAATCAAACTGGAACCAGCGTCAAATCTGGTTGCCTTGCAAATTGCCACCGTACCGGTGACAATAAACACACTTGCAGGTCCCATCGAGATCACGGCAAAGATGGTTGCTGACGAAGTCACGCGAGTGACGAAATCGGTTCCGTTTCTTGTCCGTCCGCACGGGTACTGCAAGCCTGGGGCGCCATACGAGAACTGGCAAGCCCTCTTTCCTCGCGAGTCCACGCCCCGACCTGGATTCCGCCTCTTCGACGATTCTGGAGCTGCGAAGCTCTTCCGACCTCGTCAACAACTCGAACAGTGCAAACGTTGTCTTGGCTATCACGCCAGCCGCGGATGCTCCCACGCTCCAGCTTGCTGGAACTGCGGCTCAAAGATGCACTCGGAAGTGGAGTGCAAGGCCCTCACACGATGTCGCAATTGTGGGGGCTCTCACCGATCGGACTCTCGGCACTGCCAAGCCAGACCCAGAAAAGATGGACCGGTGACCAAGGAACAGCTCGCAGCAATTCGCAGAGTCGAGCAAGAAAGATTTGCAGACTTTGTCCGTGTCAAAGCTGCATACAAAAAAGACGAAGAGGCGAGGAACGCCTCTGCGAAGGACGTCTCCATGGCGGAGGGATCGGGTTTCGGAATTCTAGAAACCGAAGAAGAAGTTTGAGGACTCGGCAGTCCTTGGTGAAGTCTACAACAACTTTCACAACAAAAAGCAGGAAACCAGCCGATAGCAAAGGTTACCTGAGAGCTCATCTTTCGCTCTCAGCGGAGATTAGGAAAAGTCACTTGGAAGATGTGACAGGGAAGGAAACGGGTGAGAAGCGCGGGATCTGGACCACATATGAAATTCTTCTAAATTATTTTTTATTTTTTTCAGTTTATTTCGGTTTTTTTGTTTTATTTACGCTTTGATTTTAGTTTTGATTTAAGTTATGTTGTTAACTTCATCTACTTTTGTTGAGGTTCCCGCGGTTGGAATGAGTTGGGCTGTGGTAAAGAACACAGGGATCCCTCCCGGCTCCACCGGTCTTGTACCCATAGCGGACCGGGAGCAGTAGCTTAGGACCTTAAAATTACAAACAAAAAAAAAACGGCCTTCCAGGAGTGGAAAAATTTATGGACAGGCATTAATAGGAAGCAGCGCTCGGGACGACTAGCACCAGCCGATCCAGAACATTGGAAAGCCGCAAATATATTCACCGATAAAAAAACAGGCAGTACAAAAATTAACTTCAGAGGTACACCTTTAAGTATCCACCGTAACCTGAGCAGGGCCCAAAGCAGTGTCGCGATTCAGCTAAGAAGCGAGCATATCGGCCTCAATTCTTACCTATACAGGAGAAAGGTACCCGGAGTAGAAAACCCTCGCTGTCAATGTGGATATCCGTCACAGAACGTCAAGCACATGCTATTGGCGTGTCCGCAGTGGGCAAGTGGAAGAGGCGATGTTCTCCGACAGGCTAAAGACAGGTCATTTGAAGCAATGATGAACAGTCCAGAGGATGTCGCTCGAATCACACAGTGGATACTAAGCAAAGGATGGATAAAACAGTTTCGACTTGCGGGGGAAGTGGAGGCAGCAATGTCGGAAAAATGAATCGATCATGAAGGGGAGAGAACGGAGTCCACACTGGCTTAACAGTGTAAAATGCACTTCCTGAAGGTAAACTAGGAAAGTTTGATAGCTAATAACAGGCAGGATCAGGGGGTTTTCACCAAATTGGTTTCCCCCTTTGTAAATAATGAAGATAGTCACCTGCATGGACCCATAGGGTGCCTGATCGGGTTAAATGAAATCAAATTCAAAATTCAAACAAAAAAAAAACATGATTATATCGAGTAACTGTCACATGATGTAACCACTGTCATAGGCTTGAGCCTGATTATATGTATTTTGTGCCTAATAATCAAAGGATATATTACATATTAACTAGCTTAATTCCAAGTATATCATGCACATCGCCACACGACTCATTATGCCTGGTAGATGTCTAAATACATCTCATGTAAATATATTCTTAAATGGCGACTAAGAACACAGGCAAGACGACGCGACTATTGAGGTAGAGAAGGAGGACACGCTTATGGATATCATTTCAGCACACACTGTGCTACAGCAGGAGTAGCAGAAGGAGGACAGGGATGAGGAGGCAGCTGAGCCGCCTGCTACAATTAATCAAGTACTAAATAGCCTCAAGTGCCTTGATTTTTTAACATCAGATTTTAATTGCGTATGCAGCTATCTAGCTATGACACGATATCAGAGAAAAGTATAGAATAGACGATTCAACACAAGGTAAGAGCACTCATGCCTCGGATTTCATTTGCTAGTACCACTGCGAAGTTATGGCGGCTTTTTCTTCACGCCAAACCAGTCCTCATCCGTGAATCTCCACCCAGGGGAACGTCTCAAAAACCCTGAGTTATCCAGACATGCCTCCATCATCTTTCAACCTTTCTCCGCGCGAAATATGGTCTGAGTTGTCTCCTTCCTAAGTGGAATTGGTGCCCAGGCTACTCAAACCATACCAGAGAACACCACTACGAGTCCGCATTGTGCTTAATGGCCCCAATTATTTTGACTTCAAACATTATTTATTATTAAAAATCCCTGCTACAATAAAATGTTAAAGCACTCCACATAAGTTGTAATGACATTATCGTGATCGTAATTTTTTCCGTATAAAACAAAAATTATTTACGTGAAATTTAAAAAAAAAAGAAAACAAGATCTTTTAAGATGGGTTGTAGCCATAAAAAATTCCCTTTAATTACATAGCAGCTTCGTATGCTAGTGATTGCGAAGAAAGGATGAAAAATTGCAATAATCACATTCCATGGTGGCAGGTTATGCTGCCGATAATCTTTAGCTAATTAGAAGCTGAGATCATCGGAAACTCTGAGCCTAGGCGGTAACTTCTTGCTCGACAATTTATTGCAATAATTATCTTATCTTTTAGCTATTGTACACTTTTCTCACCAAATATGAGGTCTCTTAACATTGACACACAAAGAGAATCTCTTTACTCCAGTCCATTCACTTTTAAAATTCCTCCCGCTGTGATTCATTCAAAATACAGATTTCCGAATTTTCTGCAAACTGATGATAATTTTTTTCCCTGGCTCAGTAGATGTTGGGTCGTTTTAGGATCTTCAAGATCTCTAGGACTCATTGCATAAATGTGTCTAAACTTTCAGCTAGAGGTACTGCCCAAAATTTCAAATATATTTTATCTTCTGCTCAGTATGAAATTTACAGCCTTGTTCTATACACCAAATGAAACAGTTAATCTCTATCACTGTTAAAATACATTAGACTCACTAGACTCCTTGTGCTTCATACTTTTATCGTAAGTTTATCGCGCACTGAGCTTTGACCGCTCTTCGTGGTTCATTAGTTGGACTTGAAAAAAATGCAGTTGATGTATGCATATCCTCGAATCGTAGGCGTATGAGGAGGTCATTTATAGGTAATTTTTTATGATAGATGAAAGGTTATAACTGGCCTCTTTTAGCTTTTTGAAGCAACACAAATTGGAATACCCTAGCAGCAGGAACCAAAGACTCCTATCTGAACGAAGTAATTATAGATATTAGACAGATCTTCGTCGTAAAACAGGTTTGGCGTATTAACTTATTATGAAAAGCACAATTATCAACCTGAGCCATGCTGATGAACAGGACATTGTCCAGGTCTCATTTCAAACCACTGCCTGATGCACTTCAAATGAAATTGGCAAAAGCATTCCAGTCGACCCATCCAATCATCAACTTTAAATTCTTCAAAACAGATTGTACATTCGGCACTATTGATGCAATCTGTTTCTAAGGCCCGATAAGGAAAAACACCTGTTCTCCTTCCCGATGTTACGTGAAGATTTTGGATGTGGCCATAGTTTTGTGAGCCTGTCCCGATAGCAGTAGAGTTTCCATTGTTGTGGTCTATATTTACGAATTCTTGTTCGAATGTTAGCTCTACACTAGGCTTTTGAACTACTCCGGATGTCGATTCGATAGCTGCATTGACGCAATCGTTTACGTGATTTTTCCTCAACATTTCATGATTTTCGAGGCTCCTAGAGGGGAGTTCTTGGTGACATATCCAACATTCATCCTCTTCAGATATTTGCGATGGACGACTTGGAAAGGGAACTGAGCGTTCCTCCTGTCTTAGTTGCCTGATTGAATGAGATCCGTGAAAAGGCGGAACTAAACTGATTATCTCAGAATTATTGCCCTAGAATCACAGATATTAGCATCAGCTTAAAGTTTCAGCTCTCTTATCGAATCAGAAAGCTCTAGTGAGGTGTTGAGAGTAGAAGACTTACATGATTAAAATCACTTAGAGCTCCGACCTATGAAATCTCTTAGTTTGTCAGGATCTGAGTTGAGAGCTCTCAGAGAACGTACTGTGCTACTCCTGGACCGAATTTCATGATGATTAGATCTAGAGATTCGATCCTCTCCTCGGTTATATGATGCTGAATAGAACAAATTATTTGATCTTGGAATTGGAACTCGATTTCCCGAATGAATGTATTGCTGCCGGTAATGACGGGAAGAGTTTGGTGCTGTAATATTTTCGACGTCTCGATGCCGGTAAGAATTTAGGGCTGAGTGGGATAAAGGTGTGTTTGGCAAATCGTTTGAATTTTGTAATGTTGGGATTGGACACTCAATCTCATCTGGAGAATAGCGAGGTGATGTTGAGCTTAGACTCGGTACGCATGGATTACAGAGACGTACTTTTTCTCCGCCCATCGTGTTGTTTAATCCTGAAGAATCTTCATTTAAATTTTCCGCCAGGCCTAGATCTGATAGCCTTCGGGTTACACCCTCAACTGGTGGTTGTATAATATATCGATTTGGTATTATGATGCGATGGGGCGAACACGAATTGCACACCACACGACCGCATTTCCTGTATTTTTGTGAATTAGAACTTTTTCCTCGTGTTCTATGAAGGTCTCAAATTTTTAACATACCTACAGTGATGCTTTCGTAAAAAAAAGCCTTATCAAAATTTCAGTAGACTTCTTGTAAGTTGCTAACAATACTTACTAAATTGAGTATTGCACAATGGACAAATGGAAACTTCCGTATCTAGCTGCCAAGTTGGAAGAATATTGTTTCTTGTATGCCTTCTCTCTAAGTAATGTTGAACGTTAGATGAAGTTTCACCTGAACTTATTGGAAAGCTAGAGAATTTCAAATCCCTTTCCCTTTCATTTCCGGACTGCGAAGTGAAAAAACGATGGCCGGCCGAAGTTACCGAATGAGAAGTCTTATTCAAGGGCGAAGATCTTCTAAACCTACCATTCTGTTCATGCAAATCGTGTCCTGAAATGTTTTGAGTTCTCGCTACATTAATATCCGAAGCCATGTAGGAATCTTCCAACGATGCATCTCGAAAATGGGATGAGTTACGCCTAACTGGCGCCAGGTGTCGATTTGGGGTTGTAGACGAAGTTTCTTCCGTATATAGCTCAGACGCAGGGTTTCTTCCTTGTCCTGAATCTTTTATACTCCTTATCGCACCATCTGAGCGACAATGGAGCTTCGCATGGACCCTGTTTAGATTTTCGGATGAACTTGATAGGGATTCCGAATCGGAATCTGGAAGTGGCGGTAGAGGCCGATCTCTGGAGAATGAAGGCGAACGAAGTTCTTTCGGTGTTACCATATCGAAAATATTATCAAAAGATGAAGGGATAGATTGAAGCTAACTTTGTGAGTAGACAATTTTCTAGGCGTCTGAGTACGATAAAGATGGACTAAGACTTGGATTCTTAATGGTGTCCCTTCTGCTCAAGCATTGAATTACAATGATGCTGTGAAAGCTTCCAGTGATTTACATGAAAATCGGGAAAGAAATTGACTGTCAAATTTGGTTTCATTCGTCTTGGTCGCGGTGGTGATTTTAATGCACAGTATTCCCACGGAATCGCTCAGTTAAGATTACAGTGACCAGAAGCCCAAAGCAATGTAGTCCACTAAAGATAAAATAAATTGTTAGTACCAAAACTACTGAGGAGCCACAGTTTTTTTTGACAGGGGTTCCAAGTTACCTTCGGCCTTGAGTAATGTCATTGACGCAATTTTGTGAGATAAATAGTCAACTAAAGTCACACAGTTTTGGTTCCCTCGTCGAATAAATTTTTTTTTAAACTTAAGCAACAGTTGTTGTGGACACAAAGGAATAAATTCCCTTGTGAGTTGTCGATTAAATGAAAACGGTTATCCAATCTAGAGGGGTACACTGCGTTGTGATGGGTAATGGGGGGTATCATCGGGTATCGATAACCTATATTGGAATGATTATGTAATCTGGCAAAAGGTCCTTAGCTTTGCAAGCTGCACAGTTTGGCTATGGCCAGGGTTAGCCCCGCACAGATTGCGCCGAATGCCCGCGATACTGAAGCATGTGATAACAACCTTCCAGTTGCCGAATTAATTTCCCATCCGAACCATCTCCTTTCGACAATCGAGCAGGAGCCGGAGACTCCAAACGACGTGGTATAACTCATGATATCGCTTGCGTCACTATCTTTCTAGGGGTCTCAGCAGAAGTTTATGACGCGGAAATTTCTGCAGCAACATAGGGCCAATCAGCTGCCCTCCACAATCCCATGGCTTTTAATGTAACCAACTCAACTGTCTGCCTAAACAACCAAGAAGCGGCTCTTCGACTCCTCTAATTAACACCTACTGCAACAAGCTCGCGCCAAATCGCAAAATTTAGGCGGCAAGCAGCCAGCTGGACTAACGGAACACGGGTATCCTGTACTAGAGCAAGAGCAGTCAGTGTCAGATGGTACCCCGGACATTCTGGAACCCCTGGAAGTGATGCAGCAGATGCTCTAACGAAGTCGGCTTTTCTAATAACAGCGCAACCCCTACCTTCATCCATAGCACGAACATAAATAGAAATTTCTCCTACACAGCGCTTCCATCACCGCTTTCTAGGCTCAGGAAGGCCCCTCTCGATACAAAGTACTAGGGCTTGGTCCTAGTCCAGGAACAATTTAAAACTTCATGTGGCGAAGAAAAGGTCTAGATCACTTTTAATACAGTACAGGAAGAAGCCGTACCCGTCTTTGCGGCGGACCTCGACATCCCTACCCCGGAATCGAATGGGTACTTGGCACGCCTAAAGGCGCCCTCGCCTTCGGCAAATGTGTCTTTCTTTGCATTAAAATTTAATTGCGCATGCAGCTAACTAGGTATGTCCAATATCAAAGAATAGTACATGATAGATAACTCAATATAAAGGAAGAGCACTCATGCCTCGGATTTCATTTGCAAGTGCCACTGCAAATCTGTGGTGGCTTTTTCTTCACCCCAAACCAGTCTTCATCCGTGAATCTCCACCCAGGGAAACATTTCAAAAACCCTGAGTTTTCCAGACGTGCCACCATCTTCTATAGAATTTTCTCCGCGCGAAATGTGGTCTGAGGCGTCTCCTTCCTAAGTGGAGTAGATGCCAAGGCTACCCGAACTATACCAAAGAACACTACCAGGAGGCGGACCACGACACCTTCCATAGTTGACTTGTATTTATAGTTTTAGCTCCACTCTCGGAAAATGGGACGAGCTGACTAGATTCTACGACGATATCTAACGATTCCATCGTATATGTCTTGGTGAAAGTTTTCCAATTTGGCTCGGAATAATGTTAGATGGAAGGATTTATTTTTATTTTAATTTGTATACCGACTTTATGGAAGTTACCTTAACCATTTCGCTGTCTGAAGGGCCGGCAAGGATGAATTCTTTACCTTCCGGTGGTTCCGGTGTCATCGCTCAGTATGCTCTGCATCTCTGGGATAGGCGAGAGGAATCGCATCCGAATCCAAGTCGAGAGCAATCGCATGCATATCTCCATTTGACGATTTCTCAATCATGCAGCACTCACCATAATCTTCTGAGTCCTCAACCTATTTCTAACCACACATAATCTCGACTCGACGACCGATACAGGCGTCACCCCAATTGCAAACGGGAGCTTGCCTCAATCATTACCGACCATCATTCACTACAAATTTGCGACGCTACGTTGACCCGCAAGGAGCAAATTAAGTCATAATATACAAAGTTGGGGTCTTGGTTTATGGGGGACTGATGCTCTAATGGGGTTATACATCTTGAGAAAAGACAGGCGGCTGGGATTTGGAACGAGAGGGGGAACAAGTCTCTTAAGACTATGCTGAGACTGACATTTTCGAGGAGTTTTCAACTTTGGATTTTTTGTGGGCGGCAATACCAAGATTTCGGCTAATTAGCCAGGAGGACTTCAATTGTCGATGAGTTAACGGCACTCCCTCGTGCCCTGGACAGCACAAAAGAATTTGGGCTAAGCTACCATACAGCAATCACGCTCTGTCAAGACTTTTCTGACATTTCAGCATGACCTTCGGGAAGGAGTTGGAAGGAGGCTAGAAAGGCAGAGTGTGAATTTCCCGAGGTGCCCGCAAGTCTGCAGCGCCCAGCTGGCCGGCCTCTTTGAACGCTTCGGAAGGATCACTATCTCTTCGGATTCAGTCTTTATGTCGATGTTAGGAGGGCTCCGCACCCAGTGGTTTTCGCGATTTTCCCCGGCTGCCATACACCCGCAAATGGCTATCGCTTCGTTGGCTGGAGAGTGGAGATAATGAAGGGCAAAGGGCTCCTCTTAGTGTATCAGCGTATGAGGACTTGTGAGGGGTGATACTGTTTGAGGGGAGCTACATGGGAGGCATAGCAGGGGATATACTACTGGCATAGGTATCCTTGGCCTGTAGGCAGAGAGGACCTGCATATCTTACATAGTCATAGACTCAGGCAGGACAATAAAATGAATTAATAATAATAATCTCTGATCCTGTCGGTCGGTTATATACACGTGTACGCGTATGCAATGGGTTTCTCTCTGATGTGGTGATTCTTGTCCTATTCACTTGCGGGCGTGTCTGCCATATGGGCGACACGGCGAAACGCACTAAGTCATGTGACTACAGCCTATTCACAAAACAAACTCCCATACCTGCTAGGTGATCACAAACCTACTATGGTTATGAGGATTCTTCATTGATATTACAACAGATCCTGAAATCCCCAATATCTTACGATTCATGCAGTATTGACTTGACGGTTTACGTTCACTTCTACTATTCCAGATACCCTCAAGAACTTTTACAGGTTGTAGGGAGAAAGAAGGCTATGGCTCACTCTAGATGGATGTTAAATAATACAAAAAAACGCACAATTCGAGAAGTTCGAAAATTCACTTTTTCCACCCCTCTCGAACTCGTCGTATCCAGTCTTGAATTGTGATCGAGCTTCAGGCATTTTCGCCAAGCCTCCTGTTCGCAAAAAGCGTCCCAACGCCAAGTTGGACAACACGAGAGTCCACCCGAGGGCTGTCGAACAAGTACCTGGCCTTGCCCAGTCCGAAATGTGCGGAGATGAGCAAGGTCTCAATCAAAGGGAAGGAAAAAGCCCTCCCCGCCGTCGCTGAACCCGATACTGACATGATCGGATCAGTTGAAATGGTTGAGAAAATTCCTCAACCACCCTCTTCCCTTTGACCAAGGGATTAAATAGACAATTCGTAGACTCAATGAGAGTCTACTTAAGCGCCACCATTGTGCAATACATGGCCACGGGCCCGGTCACTACGCCACCCGTTCTCCCTCTCGCCCGGCTAACCCAGTCCCAAGGGCTCCCGATGCCAGGAGTACAACGATGACCGCCGTCCCAGTTCTGTCCGTCAAAAGCACCTGGGCCACGGTGGCCAGAAACGGACCGCGACAAAAAGCAGTCCCTACTTCCAAGGCTATGCCGCGACCTGCGGCCAAAGCCCAACAAAAAGAATCTCTGAAGGCGAAAGTCGACAAACGACTCTTCCTTCGCCTTGAAAACGACCATCCGTGGCGAAAACTGTCCACAAGTAGCGTGAGAACCAAGTTGGAGTATACATTCGGCTACTTTAACCAAGAAATAACACTCCATCGAGTGAGAACCGACTTTGCTATGCTAGCATAAAACGAAAAAACATGATAAGAGACGTTAGATTGCCCTTCGAAGCTGGCGAGTGAAAACGTCAAACTCGAGGCATCTTCAGATCTTGTCGCTTTACAGATACCGAACGTACCTGTAAGTATAGTTACATTGAGCGGCCCCAAGGCGGTCGATGCAAGGTGGGTCTCCGCCAAGATTCACAGTAAGAACGGCGCGCTTCCAATCCAGGTCCGACCTCATGGGACGTGTCGACCCGGGGCACCGTATCGAAACTGGCATGCCCTATTTCCCCGGGACTACACCCCTCGTGCGGGCTTCCGCCTCTTCGACGAGTCTGGTAAGGCTACCATTCACAAGCCTCGTCGACAAATCGAACAGTGCAAACGCTGCTTGGGCTTCCACGCCACTCGTGGTTGCTCCAGCCTGCTGAAACTGCGGCTCCAACATGCACTCGGAAGCCGAGTGCAAGGGCCTCACTAAGTGCCGCAACTGTGGGGGACCCCACCGATCGGATTACCGGGACTGCAAAGTCAGACCCAGAAAGTCCGGACCGGTGACCAAAGAGCAGCTCGCGTGGATCCGCCACATAGAACAAGGGGAGTTCTCAAAGGTGGCACGAGCACGAGCAGCAGCAAAAAAGGCCAAAGAGGCGATCATCGCCGCTGCGAAGGACGTCTCGATGGC